GCTTCCTGTTTGGGTTGAAATTCTCAATTCTTTGTGGTCATATGATAAAATGCTTATTGACTAAGTTTGGTCGGGCCGGACGAGAAAACATTTGGCTTTCGATCATGAGGTAAGGACCGCACTGCCCTCGGTCTGTACGTCATCACTACGTAGTAACTTTCGCAAAAATTGATTTCGAATTGAATCTTGTGGCACTAAATTTGATTTGAATTAAGATTTAAAAAAAAACGCGGCCTTAAAACCATATGTAAGTAAATAATCTTACCCAAAAAGTAACTCAATAAATTAATACAAGAGGTGTTTGCAGCTAACAATTACATATATCAAATTGTGACTCTCATTCATTTAATATCTGAATTTTGTAACATTTCTATGACATTTAAAACTGAACTGAGGTAACTCCTCGAGAATTAATCGTCGTTATAAATGAACGATACGATCCGTAAGATCTCTGAGTGTTTTTCGGGAGAAAATCGTCGCTATGGCCATTTGTGTGTTTGCCATACCAGTACTGTTGTTCATTCAAAAGCGCACATTGCGCTTTTTTTCTCTCCAATTGACAGGTTTCAGATCGTGATAGATACATGTTAAAATATTTTCAAGAAGAGTACGACATTTTTTAATTTATAAGACATGTTTCGATGTTACGAACATCATCGTCAGTTACAGACTATTTGAAAAACCGTTAGGGCTATTTAACAAGTAAGCGAAGCATGCATAATTTAATTATGATTGAGTGACAAAAATTACATATTGAGTGAGTAAAGTGTTGGAAAGAATGTAAAGCCTAAAGCGTAATTTTTGTCACTCAATGATAATTAATTATGCATGTTTCGCCTAGTTGTTAAATAGCCCTAACGATTTTTCCAATAGTCTGTAACTGACGATGAAGTTCGTAACATCGAAACATGTCTTATAAATTAAAAAATGTCGTACTCTTCTTGAAAATATTTTAACATGTATCTATCACGATCTGAAACCTGTCAATTGGAGAGAAAAAAAGCGCAATGTGCGCTTTTGAATGAACAACAGTACTGGTATGGCAAACACACAAATGGCCATAGCGACGATTTTCTCCCGAAAAACACTCAGAGATCTTACGGATCGTATCGTTCATTTATAACGACGATTAATTCTCGAGGAGTTACCTCAGTTCAGTTTTAAATGTCATAGAAATGTTACAAAATTCAGATATTAAATGAATGAGAGTCACAATTTGATATATGTAATTGTTAGCTGCAAACACCTCTTGTATTAATTTATTGAGTTACTTTTTGGGTAAGATTATTTACTTACATATGGTTTTAAGGCCGCGTTTTTTTTTAAATCTTAATTCAAATCAAATTTAGTGCCACAAGATTCAATTCGAAATCAATTTTTGCGAAAGTTACTACGTAGTGATGACGTACAGACCGAGGGCAGTGCGGTCCTGACATCATGAGCGAAAGCCAAATGTTTTCTCGTCCGGTCCGACCAAACTTAGTCAATAAGCATTTTATCATATGACCACAAAGAATTGAGAATTTCAACCCAAACAGGAAGCGATACTTGTGCACACGCAGGCAAACGAGCACAAAATTAAATCTGTAACTAAAACTTTTCCTCAATTTTTTCCAGTGAGAACAAGAAACTTCCAGTTCCTTGAAAAACGCGACTCTTTTTTTTCTCATTTCTGTTTTTCTTTACGTTTTTGCAACATAGCGACGTGAGGGGAGCATGCGCAGAAGGATTGTTCCGGATCCGGACCGGCTGGTTGTAATAGGGGTCTTTCCTTAAAAATTCTGCCCAGCCGGTAAAACGAGATAGATGTTTGAAAATAATGGAACAAAACTGAAAAAAATAATGAATATAGCGAATATTGTTGAATAATTGCCAAGACGACGTCGAGGGAATTATTCAACTATATTCAGTGAGCTGGAAGTGAATGATTTAGTACAATTGCTCATGTGCTATCGAATTTTGTTTAAACTCTTTGTTGCTAAATTAATTCTGTTAGAATTCTTTTGATTACTCGTATAAGATAAGCAGCCGGTATCAATGAGAAATTAACAGGTTTATTGAATCAAATCCGCAAGAGCTTCATATCTCTCATTTGAAAATTATTACCCCAAACTGAGTAGTACACTTATTGCTCTTCAGAATTAAATTTTTTCTATCGCGTTTATCACTTCCTCGGTAACATTGACAAAACGCAAGGCAGCCATTTTGAAATTTAGCGCCCCTGCTACAAACACCTCGCGCGAGGTGGATATGTTGAATTGCGTCGACCAATGAGAGCGCGCATGTCTCTATAATCACTGAAACAATTATATTAGTGTATAATAATAAAAAAAAAGCATTACTATCTATGCTAATCACCAATTCATTGGCAGTAACAACAACAACGACAGAGCGATTAACTAAAATTCCGTATGATAATAATGACAGTAAGAATATTTATGATTGCAACAGTAATAATGATAGTAATACCAAAGATAAATATTAAAAAAAAATATCGTACACATGGACATGATTTTTGAGGCACGAGGGTGTCCTTCGGGAAAAAAAAATATTCGTATGTGCGCAAAATTTAAGAAACTCCCAACAAGCTATACATCAGAAGAAAGTTTAATAAATTTAGTTTACGATAAAAATATAATTTAAGCGATTTTTCATTTACGAAGTGTCAGGCGTGAAGTGTCAGGCGTGAAGTGTCAGGCGTAAAGTGTCAGGCGTGAAGTGTCAGGCGTGAAGTGTCAGCAGCCAATAAGGCGTGAAACGACCGAGGGTCCATCTGTTGAATTTATTGAATATGGATCCCGCAGCACAAGCAAAATGGCTGCACAGTCTTCTTCACAACGCATCAATCAACAAAAGGCCTAGGGTGTCGGGCTTTTACGAAATTCTCATTGGTTGTCTAGATATCTAAAGTTAGAGTAGCGTAGAATATGCGAGACGTGTTGCATAAATAGACGCCACATGAAAAATATTTTAAATATCAAATTTCCCGACACCCCCTCGTTTGTCATTATACCTGAAAATTGGTCAAATCTACGAAGCCTATTAATTTTCTCAAAGTGTTTGTATTCCTCTCAAAATAAAATGCTAGATTATAACTTCTAAAGGCTTTGTAAACAACGTGTGCCACACCAAGAGGCTATCTCGCCTCCTGAAAACGGAAACCTCGACCACTCAGTGGAGTGTTGAGGAGGACAACACAATACTAGGCAACCTAAAACCCGCGGTAAAACTGGAGAAACCGAACAAACAAGATAACGAGAAGCAAGATAACGAATCGACAGTCAGCTTTCAAAATTACTTTTCGAGGCGATTGTAAATTTTTTTGTATCAAGGCTGATACTTACATAAATAAAAAGAAACCTCGTTTTTAACTTAATTAATATAAAATTTTGGTTTGACGGCGACCTTCTTTGCTCGAAATCTGGACGCCAGCGCAGAGTGGAGTACTAGTCGGTTTTACCAAGGATTTCCTTCTTTTCTTGACAAAATGGTACTCTTCTTTCTTGTTTGAACCTTATTTTTTTTTTTTTTACCCAAGGACTTTTTTCTGCTTATGAAGTTTCCATAAGCAAAGATATTTCCACAAGCAAAGAGCTTCCATGGGCGAATTTTGTCAAGTGCGCAATGTATACAAAGTAGGTAAATAATATGAAGAGGAACGGTGGCCGCGAAAATTNNNNCTTCCTGATTTATTAACTTTTATTTGAAAATACGTTTTTCTAAATACCTCGGGCGCTTTTGCAGATTTTTTAAAATCTTTTCCCCCAAAAGTTAGGTAAAATGTTTGACTTTGATTTAGTCAACTAAAAGAAAAAATGATTTTTTGGCATCTTAAGATGGGAAGTAAAGTTAAGAGTCTTTGTGATTTTGGGGAGGGCTTTTACGCATTCGTATAAATGGTGAAGAAGGGGGAATAAGAACGAACGGACTAGGTGACATGATACAAGTTATTATCACTTTGTCGGGTATTGTGCTGCATTTTGTTGGAAAAATTGGCGAATTTGGAAAAGGGAGAATCACACAATCGCACGATGAAAGCAGCCAATTAAATCATCAAGCCAAATAGAGCCAATTTCGCCGTTACAAGGCACAAAACCGGAGGAACCTTGACATACTATATTAAGCAGTGCGGAAACTTGCTTTTTGGACATTCTTAGTCGTTCGCTTCTGGAAATAACGCCTGTGGTAGTTTTATAGCCGTCAAAAAGCTATAGTCAGGATCTCCACCATCTAATTCTTTGACTGTTTTTCGAACTGAGGTGTCTGTATTATTAAGTGGGCCACGTAGTGTAGAGGGAAAAGTCAATTTTATGGTTGCATCTACAACAAAGACTGAACGGACTACGGTGGGATAAACTAGTTTGAGCAATTAATGGCGGTGTATTGTGCAGCAATTGAACATATGCAAGCAGTCTATGGCTAAAAGGAGCAAGCTAAATGATAGGAATTTTAGCAATATTTTGGAAATGATAAACTCGGAACATAGGTTTTAAACTAGAATTTCTTATGAACATACTTGTAAAGTAAATAACTAGATTGGGCCTTTGCTCTGATCATGCACGCAGCTAAATATCTAAATGAATTCACTAATTTATTAAAGTGCCTATGACAATAAAATGACTGAAGTTTCAACAACGTTTCGTTAACTCTATACCATTGTATTACAATGCTCACTTTCAGTGTTAAGGTTTTCATGCAATCCAGTTTTCTCGTCATTTGGGACAGTAATGTTTTTGTTTTTTGGCGCTATTTCTCTTTTTAATAAATCGGGTATGGGTGCA